TCGCTAGTCTCCACTGAGAATCTGGCCCGTTATCAGCTAAGTTAGTTCTGCATAATGTTTGCTGTGTTATCAACTTGCAAGATGACATTGCAGAATTCATTCAGAACTTCCCGATTAGCCAACTTTACAAATCCCTGCTTTGTAGGTTAGGCCTGTTCTGTGCTGATACTCTCCGGTTCTGAGGATGAAGCATGGCTTTGTGAATGTTAGGCAGTCTACCACTGAGCCACATCCTCCCCTGAGTAAAACTGAGCAGAGAGAGAGAAAGATTTCAGAGCCTTAGCTCAGCCACAAACAAACCCTATGAGAGGAGCAGGTTATTGTGTGTGTGTGTGTGTGTGTGTGTGTGTGTGTGTGTGTGCGTGCGTGTACCAACAAGCCTCGGCTGTTTCCAGGTCTGTGACGTTTTCTTTGTGATCTCAGAGCCCTGCAGCCTTGTGGTGACAGGGGTGCTATGGTGACTAAGAACTTTGGCTCTCGCTACCCCTCCAGCAGGCTGCCACCTCTGCCTAACGCTCTCTAGTATTTACGTAGCCAATCTAGGGATGGCTTTGTAGCGACCCCACAGCCTTCATGACTTTTTTTTTTTTTTTTTTAGTTTTTAGTTTCTTCAGGACTCGTCCCTTGCTAATAATTAACATATGCGCTGAAGCAGTCTCCAAAGTCAATAGATGAGGGCTTTTTGTGGCTGGCAGGTCTCATGCCTTATCTTCTCTGCACTGTAAAAACCAGCAAAGAAACGTTGTTTTTAAGGCTAGTTCAGATTGATGCATGTAAGTCTGAAGGTGTGTGTGTATTAATTTATTCATCTCGTTTCTACCAAGATCCTAATATGTGCCTAGTTCTGTTCTGGGTGATGATAAGCAAGAGCCCCCTATTGTTATGGAGACGTAATACTAAGTAGAACATAGTGTACGTCAGAAGGAGATAGCTGCTAAGGGAATGTAAGGTGAAGAAGGGTCTGGGGAAGGTAGTGAAGCTACAGCTCTTTTCTAATCCAACAGTGTGAAGCCCAAAGCCTGTGAGATAAAGCAGCCTGCATACGCTGGGACAATCATCCTCAACGAGATGGGCTCCAGTGGCCTTGCCTTTCTACAAGGTCACAACCATGTCTAACTCTCATGCAGCCAGGCAGCAGCCCTGCCTGGGGCTGTGCCAGCTCGCAAACAATTCGAGTGTCCTTGAGGTATTAGCCCTCTCATTATCAGGGCACAGGTGCCCAGTTGCTTGAGTTAAAGCTTATTACACATCATTTCTTGAGTATGGACCCTCATTCCGTTGCTTTGTGGAAGACGCAGAGAACGTTGGCCTGGCATTAAGAGGCTTCATGTGTTCTTAGACTCACCGTTTTCAAACCAAATAAACCCAGCCACAGGTCTCCAGCGGCTCACACCCACAATGCCTGTTCACACTCAGAAATCCCCAACAGTTTCTAACACTGCAAGCCTCTGAGGGGCACTCACCTTGAAGCAAGCCAGCGTGATTGAGGGAGGATCAGCTTAAACTGTGTGTGTGTGTGTGTGTGTGTGTGTGTGTGTGTGTGTGTGTGTGTCTGGTTACACTCACTCTTGTTTCTGGGTATGCGCACACAAGTGTGCGTGCTATATGTATGTGACGTGGGTGTCCCTGAGGTAAGGTATAGGCACATGTGTGCACGCACATGCAGAAGCCAGAGAGGGACCCCACGTGTTCTGTGCTATCACGTCCCACCTTATTCCCTTGCAATAGGGTCTCCTGAACCCGAAGAGGCTGGACTGGTGCCCAGAAACCCCTGGAAATTCTGTTTTTCTCTGTCCCCCACAGTGCTGGTCTTACAGGTGCCTGTGTGGCAATCACACCTGATGTTTTAAGTGGCCTGGGGATTGACATTCTCCTCATGCTTGCATTAATATACTCTTACATGTTGAACCATCTTCCCTGTCTTTTACATTCCTTACATAATATGCTATTTATCTGCAATATGGAGAACGATGTCCGTATTTGATCAGAATTTCATTTTCTGCAGCACATCTGGCGTAGGTATTTACATAAAGGAACACAAACGCGTGCCATTTGCTGTAAGGATCTCACTGCTGCCTTTGCTCTCCTCTTAGAGACAGACATGAGTGACGGGTGCTTTCTTGCTCTGTCGAATGCATTGGGATTCTAGGTGGCTGGAGCCACACAGGTTCCACTGGGCACTTCTCATGCCCGTGTGGTGGTGTGCTTTGAGTGGTTGTTCTGTGGCGTCTCCTCGAACCCGTGGCTTCTGTCCTGTTTCTCTCTAGGCAGGGTTCAGCCTTGGAGAAAGGTGATGTTGAATGTGGGTGTCCTTGGGCTCCTGTCCCATTGTTCTCTTGGTTTTGTGCTTCTTCCACAGAAGATCATGGACAGAGTAACCAATAAGGACAAGAAGTTTATTGCTTACAGTCTGGGGGCTGGGAATGCCAATATCAAAGTGGTAGCATGTCATAGGTGCTTTCTTGATGCTGTGCGCTGTGGTAAGAGGTGCTTTATACCTAGGAAGAAAGGTCAAGAGGGCAAGAGGAGAGAGAAAGAGAGAAAGAAAGTGAGCGAGAGAGGGAGCACAGGCACACACACACACACACGCAGGCACACACACACACACACGCAGGCACACACACACACGCCCACCCACCCACCCACCCACACCCACACACACACATGCCCACACAAACACACACACACACACACACACACACACACACACACATGCACACACACACAGAGTTGGTACAGATCTCCCTTCCTCTTCCTAAAGCCACCAATGCCACCATGGAGCACCCCACCTCACACTCCTCTAACTACAAATGCTCCCCAAAGTCCACCTGTAAATAGCCCTGAATGTGAAGTTCAGGATTAAGCTTTCAACACATGGGTTTTCAGGGACACATTCAAACCACAGCCTTGGTTGCCCATCAGAGACAGGCAAAGGGAAAACGTCGGAGAAGAACTTGGCCAAGTGTGCCATTTCAAGCTACACCTCACGCTTGTGAAGACGACAGAACCCTCCGTGGCATGTGTTGGTGAAAATCAGGCAGACCCTGCAGGTCAAAGTCAAATCCCCGTTGTCCCATTTTTAGGCAACACTGTCTTGGGTGCTTGCTTCCTGGAAGTCTTGGGTTCAGTCTCCAGCATTTCATGAAGACTTGTCAGGGTGATAAGTATCTGTAATCTCAGCAAAGAAAGGAGGGTAAAACTCAAGGCCATCCTCAGCTATATAGTGTACTTGAAGGCAGCCTGGGCTACATGAGACCCTGCCTCAAAAATAACCAGCTTTTATTATGTTGAGGTAGTATGCTTCTATGCAAAAATTTCAAGGCTTCTGCTGTGAAGGGATGTTGGCTGTTATCAAATGTCTGCAGCTACTGAGGTGAACACATTATTTTAAAAAAAGATTTATCTTATTATTAACCATTCGTATGCATGTTTTGTGTGTGGGTTTTGTGCATGTGAGTGCAGGTGTCATTTGAAGCCAGAAGGGGGCACTGGGTCCCCTGGAAGTGGAGGAGGTTGTGAGGCACCTGATGCTGGGAATCAAAGTCGGTTCTCTGGAAGAGCAGAGCACACTCCTCATCTCAGAACCAGGTCTCCAGCCCACAGGCAATTCAAACAGACAAACCCACTCCTTCCTTATGCTGACACGAGGAACTGCAGCGACGGATTTGTATGTATGCATCATACTTGCAACCCTGGGAGGAAACCAACTTGACAGCAGTGAATGATCTTTTTGATATGCTGTTGTATTTAAACCCTTCACGATTTTTGCATCTACATTCCTCAGGAGTGTCGATCTATAGTTTGGGTGTCCTTTGGTAAGGAAAATGTTGGCCTCACAGGGTATCTTTGGGAGAGCTCCCTCCCTTTCAATTCTACGGAATAGTTTTGAGAAGAATTATTCATTTCATATCTCTATTGTAGCTTCCTCCCTCATCTCCCGGTTCCACCTTCCCTCCCCTCTTCCCCCCTATCCTCCCATAGAAGGAGAGGATCCAGGCAGTCCTGAGACTAGAAAAGGTCAGAGGGCAGAGGAGGAGAACACCTCCTGCTGTGTATGTCCTTCTAGGCCATAACTTCCTTCTCCTTCTCCGTAAGGGGAGATTTTCTGATGGGTGATCCTGTGAGACTGCGGGCCAGCTAATACTATGTATAACTCTTCCCTCTTTCCCATCCTGAATTTTCTTTCTCCACTTCAACCCCTAGCCCCCTTACCACAGTGCTGAGACCCAAGCACTGACCATGAGTTAGGTCTACCGCAGTTCAGGAAACAGATTCTTAGTGTCTTCCGGGGGCTGGGAAGCTAGACACAGACCGACCTTCTGGCGAGCACTTCCCCGGTAAGAGCTCACTGGCTCCTCTCATCCTGAGGCTTCTGGAACCCTCAGAAACTGGAAGGCAGCAGGATCACCTCCCGGATTCTTCCCCTTAGGGTTTATACCTTTTTTTGTTGAACCAGAGACACAGCCTGTTCGATTCCACTCAGTCCAACAGGTTCTTAACCTGTCGCCTCCGTGGCAAAGTAAGGTAAGGAGGGAATTCAATACTGACGTATGTGACTGATTTAAATAGCACTGAAAGTTGAAGCCGGTCCAGAAAACGCCAAAGTGGCCAGTAAAATCAGTCTTTTCATTAAAATCTACAAAAGCCACAGAAAGGCTATCATTGGCTAGGTTCCCAGGCCACCCAAACTGGCTGGGAGGTGGGGAAGACAAACCCCGCCCAAGCCCTGAGAGGGTAGGGTTGTTCAAGAGGCAAGCTGCGTTCTTGTTTTTTAGCCCTACACTCTGGCCTGCGCGGAAGGATTGGGGTCCGGGTGCGAATCTAGAGCAAGAGCCCAGAGACCTTACGCCAGGAAAAAGAGACATAGAGTTTTGGGACACGTTGGATTTCGCATCAAGCGAAACCTTCGCTTCTGGAGCCAGGAGTTGGGGGTCCTCTCGAAGGGGGCACGGCAGCCCCTGCTCCTCACCCCTGAGCAACGTCGAGGAAGGGTGTTTCACATGGCTGAGGCCGCCGAGCCCAAGGAGGTCGCTCCGGGTTCCCAGGGGCAACCTGAAGATGCGGCGGTCGAGGGATCAGTAGGACCTGAGGCTGCAGACCCGGAGGGGCGGGAAGCGAGCGACGGAGCCGCAGAGGCGCCCGGGGACCAGGGGGCGGGCGCTGAGGCCACGGCCTCGGGGAAGGAGGAAGGAGGCTGCGGGCAGGACGGAGGCTTCGGGGGAGCGCAGGCGCAGGGCCCGCGGGCTGGCCCCGGGGGAGAGACGCCGGGCGGTGGCGGAGCCTGGGGGGAAGCGGAGGCTGCGGAGCGCGACCCGGAGGGCGCGGGGGTCCCGCAGGGAGCGGAGGAAGCGCCGGGCGCCCAGCAGGTGCCGGAGACCAGCTCGGGGCTGGACGCTCAGGGCGAGGCCCCTGCGGTCCTTGGGGACCATCGCGGGGAGCCGGAGGAACCCCCGGCCCTCGAGGCGGGGGAAGAGGCAGAATCCAGCCTGGAAGCGCAGGGGGGCGGCGCGCCAGGGTCGCAGATCGGTACAGAAACCCAGGGGCCCGCAGGGGACAGCATGGACACTGAGGCACCCGCAGGAGGGGCGCACGGGTCAGAAGGTGAGCCGCCGGGTGGAGGGGAAAGCGGCCCTAGGCTCCAGCCTGACGCGGTTGAGGTCGCAGCCCCAGAGATCGGAGGGCACGACCCCGGGGAGGTGGCGGTCGCTGCAGTCGCAGATGCCACGGGGGAAGCGGGAGCCCCGGGGACAGACGGGTCCGAGGAGGCAGCTACCGAGGAGGCGAGGGTAGACGCCCGCGAAAATGGGGACCAGGGTGGGCTCCAGGAGGAGACCGGGGAGGAAGAAGCGAGGCCAGAAGCCGGGTTGAAGGGACCCTGTGAGGAGGAGGAGATCCAGGAGAAGCCGTCCGACCGCAGCCCCGAGGAAGAGGAAGCCAAGTCCACCGCGCAGGAGGAGCCCCGGGCGGAGCTCAGCAACCACGTAGCCGAGGCGCCCAGCGCCCAGGGTGGAGAAGCGATGGAGCGGGTGAGTGGCCGCAGGGAGAACGGCCCAGCATCCGAGGAGGGGGACCCGGGACAGGAGCACGACATCACCCTCTTCGTCAAGGTAAATCTCACACCACCAGGCCTAGGACGGCTCAGAACAAAATCCGTGGGCTAGTACTAGATTCCGGCCGAGTTAGGGCTGTGAATGCGGTTCAGTGGTAGCACAGTGCTTGACACGTCTGAGGAGTTCCATCCGCAGAAACACGCATCTGCAGCGTAAGGCGTGGATGTCAGGTGCTTGGGGGTCAGGTCTGGGGTGTCAGCGGTGACGTTCCCGTCCCTTGTTCTAACTGGCCCTTCTAGTCCCAAGGTTATTAAAGAATTAGGAGGAAAACAAAAAGACCTATTGGTCTTCGAAAGATTTCTGCCAAAGGAGGCTTTAATCCTTGAAGTGAGAAAAAAAAAAATGTGAACAGGTAGGTTCAATGTGAGAATTCCCAAACTTAACTCCCAGAGGACCAGAGCTGCCTAACATTTTCAGCTGTGAAAAGATGCTTCGTTTTGGCAGGGCAGAGAACTTGCATTCAGGGCCAGCGGAAGCTCTTATATGCTGCCCTGTTTATTGAACATTTTAAGATTTACTTTGGAAGAATTCAAGATGCTGGAGCCCTGGACGTCATTTGTGTAGTATGTTCCTTGCCTTCCTTAGTCAAGAAGAAAGCCATGATTTCATTTTTGAAAGAGTCCCCAGACGGATGAGGAGGAAGTTTTGAGTGTAAACAGGCATTTTTACAAGGCTTCAAAAAAAAAAAAAAAAAAAGTGGACAAAGTCCAGCAGTGGCTCACACCAAGAGCTTTGTTTAAAAAAAAAAAAAAAAAGTTCTTCCTGGGACCTTTGGTCAGATCCCAGGAGGCTGCAGATAATATGATGAAGAATGTGTTACATGTTGGACCCTAATCCTTCAGAAATACTTTCAAGCTTACAGAAGCCAGTTAGCTCTAAACCTCCTCGGTTGAGATTTTAATAAGCACAAAGAAAAATGTTCCCAGGAGATTAACATCAGGATTTAACCAAGTGTCTGGATGGCTAGGATGTGCTGGTGTTTAACAGCAAGATGGTTCTCAGCTCCAGGCATTAAAGACCTAAGGAGGAAAAACAAGTCCAACATCAGGTTGGCACAGCCTTAGGCTAGTCCTGGAGGGACTGCAGAGCTGGGTGGCTCCAGGCTGTTCTCTGAGGCGCAGAATTTGCATCCCTCTGGTCACATGGCTCCAGCAAACCTGCTTGGGTTGCAGTTATGAAGCAGCTTTCTCAGCGGCTCCTCTGCTTTGTTGCCTGATCCTCTTTACTCTGTTTATTGAAGAGTTTCAAGCACATCCAACTTCCCGGCCCAGGCACAAGCCCTTCATGACTCAACCCTTGCCCCTTTCCCTCTGACCTTCCCTTAGCATTGTGGGGGTCCCCAAGTCTCCAGTGGCACTGGAGTGCCCGATGTAGGAAAGTACTATGCACCAGGGGAGGACCAGATTCCTGGTGCTCCCATCATTGAAAGTGTGCACCTGTTTACCCTCTGCCTGAGTGGAGTCTCCGCCACCATCTCCTGACTGTGCCCCCACCTGGCTGTGAGGAGCATGCAGAAGTTTCTGCAGACTTTGTGTTCTCTGTGCCTTTCTGTCTCTTCCTGGACTGATTGTACCTTTACATTCCCAGGGCAGACTGCAGGCATGGAAATGACGAGGCTTTGAGTGAGAAAGAGGCAGGTGGGCTGGATCCAGTCCTGGCTTTGTCTCTTTCTTCATACTAGTTGTTTAATTTTACAGTGATATGGCAGCTTCTCCTGGAGGGTTTATGACGTCTCAGAAACAGACTATGTTAAGCCTATGGAGTTGTGTGTCTGGCTCAGAGTTAGTGCAGCGTCAGTGAGGGTGAGGGTCACTGTTGCCTATGCTCTCTTCCCCCTCCACCAGCTTTATTTGATGTGCCACAGAGAGCTCTTCCCCATTCTACTCCAGTCGTTTCATTTTGTTTGTTTTTAAAGAAGCTCTCTTTAGGTACTGGGTTATCTTCATTTTCTGGGGATGAGCATGTTATGAAACTCAATCATTGTATCATGGCTGGTGGTGGTTGGCAGGCATGGAGTGGGTGTTCATGGGACAGGATGGTTGACTCCTGGCCCCCTCCTGTCTCTCCTCTCCTTTAGGAAAACAAACAGATCTCTTAACGGTGAGGCCGGTCACTTCTTAAGGTCACTTAAGACCTGCCTCACTTTGATAAGGCGTCTTGGTTTCTGCTGATCCTACTAACCATTCTCTCTGAAAAACAAAGAAGGAGCAAAGAATTCCAAAGCAACAAATGAGCAAAAGAAAGCAAAAACAAAACGAAACAAAAAAACTTCCTATCACCACATCTGCTAGATTTGGAACACCGTATTGGAAAACCCCTGAGGTTAGGTCAGAATTGCATTTTGTTATCAGCTGAGCCTGGGTTCTTCCAGGGCCTCCTTGCAGATGTACTCTAGCACACTGACACATCCTCACCCGGCTGACCCGTCCAGTCCCTGAGTTGTTATTTGAAGTCTGGCTTTCAGCTACTGTAGTATTCTTCCAAGCATTGCACTCTGCCCGCATACTGTTTATGATCCCTTTCCTTTTACTGTTTTTCATATTTTTAATAAAGAAATACATTAGTTATAATATTTAATATACTCTTATATAAATTCATTTAAACATCATTTGTTATAATATGCCTTTTATTATAATATAAGAAGGTATCTTGGATGCCTAATGGTAGGGGCTAATAATAACCAAAGCTTTAAGTCAGCTTACGATTTTGGCCATCTGGTAGGTTGTATCACTCATCATTAAGAGAGTTATCATGTTATTAACTTGCCATTTGTTTTATTCTACGAATATACAGAGATTGTACAGGCACAGCATCCATGTGCAACAGGTCAAGGAAGACGCCCCTTGCGTTCTTGTGTCTCAGATGAATGTCTACTGATTAATTCATTATCTTTATTTTTCTCCCCTTACAGAAGTATTGAGTAGACCACTAGATTACAGGGTAATCCCAAAATATAACTAGTAAGACAGATGTTTTTTTCTTCACTCAGCGCCAGGAAAGGTAACCTCACAACAGCACATGTGAGGGTGGGGGTAGGCAACAAACAACAAACTTAATACCCACAGTAGTTTAATCACATTTTTTTCCTCAAATGCAGCTGTGTTCTCTGAGGCAAGGCTAAGGCTGGGGGAGTCTGAGATGTGGCTTTTCTAACAAATTTTACATGACTTAAAAATCCTCCATCTGACCAGTGAATGGCCCTTGGCTAGAGTCTAAGGATTTCAAATTGCAACAGCATACACTTAACCAGAACATACAGGTATAACTGGGCCTGTGGGCTTGCACGGGCCATCAGATCTAGATTTTTCTTTTTAAAGTGAAACAAATCCAATGGAATAAAGTAAAACAGAAGGAAGACATGGTTTTTGGCTATGCCATCAAGTGCCAGAAATAAATAAATTAATTAAAAGGCTGTCAAGCACAGTTACATTACACAGCTGGACAGGACTGTGCCAGGACCTGCTTCTTAGAGACTACTGGTCGACCAGTAGCCTGTTGCTCCCTGTGAACATTCTGCCTGGAGAGAACATGTTGAGACCTGTTTTGTGAAGCTTGGTCTCTAGGGAACCTCTGGGGGGAGATGTTATTTTTCTAACAGTGTGAATGCTGTGTGTTCTGAAGGGAAATGAACAAAGATGCACCCATACAAGGTCAGCTTTTCCCTAAAGACAGTGGTTTTCAGTTTGTTTTCTGATTATCTTGTAAAACTGGATTGAAAATAACATACATGAAATCAGCAGTGTTACAGTGATAAGGAGGATGCGTGATTTTGCTCCCCTCCTCCAACTAGGCACAGTGTGGTGAGGTGGAGGAGATGGGTAACCACACCCCCCACAAATCTGAGTGTGATAGAACCTACTTGTTTTGCCCCTCCATCCTGGCCCACCCCCTATTCAGTCCCTACTTTCAGTGATGATAGTTGAGTGCTCAGGTTGATGGTAGATGGTTTCAAGGTGACTAATAGTGAGAAGCAAGTTCTACACACAGTCCTAGGCCCCCAGGATGGCAGCCCAGCACCCTTGGAAGATGAATAAGGCTGTATTCCTTTTTGAGGCTATCTTGGTGTTAGGGCTATGGATGCTGGGACTTGAGGTTTGAGCATATATTTTCTGTCCCAGTGCAGACACGCCACTGCTCCTGTCGCTGAGCCTTATGGGAGCAGCTGTGTGCCCTGTCCTCCTCCCTTGAGGTCTCTTGGGGCCCAGGTTTCACATGGCCGGCCTTCACAGAGGCATGCTGAGGGGCCCCATCTCTGGAGCATCTGGAGACAAGTGAGACGCTGCAGTAGATCTAGGTGTTTTTCCCTTTCATTCTAGATACACAGACAAGACCTAAGACTCGAAGCACCATGTAAATCCCAAATTCTGGGCAATGCTTTGGGTGCAGGACTCCAGGATAATCTGTTAATTCAAAGTACTGTATTTGGACACTGAGCTAGAATCAGAGAACACGTTGGTGCATGTTTTAGAAGCTAGAAAGAAAGACCTGAAGTTACCATAACAAAATAATAGTTGCTGTGTTATTTATAAAGCATAGAAGTTTATTTGGGTCACGGTTCTGGAGGATGGGTGGTCCAAAAGCATGGTATTTGCTTCTGGATGGCTGTGTCATTACATGCCAGAGGTACCACTGGATGACTAAGAACGGATCTAGCTAAAGTCTCTTTCAATTTTACCAGTGTTGTCATGAGTTCCCCACCCTCATGACCCCATTTAACCCTAACTGTCTTCTAAGGTTCCTACCTCCAAATACTACCAACATGTGAATTTGGAGACTAAAATTTCAGCACTTGAAATTTGGGGGTCACATTGATACTGTAGAAAAAGCAAGTCCAAGAAGGTCCTTGTCCTCTCAGAACTTCTTAGATGGAGGGTGGATACGCAGCAAGGCTTTACGCTACGCAGGCGGTGTAGCATGGAGGACAGGTGCTAAATGAGGCTGTGTGTTATGATGCAGCACGGAGGGCAGATGGACACTAAGGCGATGTGCTGTGCGGG